GGCAGCCACGTGACGCCTGCGCCTACTCAAGGATCATGTGTGCCTTGGGCTGCCTGCACCACACATATCCGGTGTAAATCCGAAAGAATAAGACCAGTAGGTCATATTTACAGGATGACAGCCACGACAGTTCAACTCCGTTGCAATGATACATGATCCCTAAGGTCTAAGACGCCTCTGGTCGTTCACCGTTGTTTATTTGTAGCATTACTGATGTCAGTTGGCACCTGCGTGTCATCAGCGACAACGCGCATAGGTCTACTAAGCCGGGGTGTACAAATGTATCCAAACATCGCGCTGAGTAGCCAGTGACTGCTGATATTCATGTGCTCTACCATGAGTTCATCGTCCTTTTGGCCGGCTCAAAACAATAACCTCGTCGACCCGAAAATCTCGTTTGTAGTTGTGCACGCACAATATACTTCGATGCATTCGGTGTGTTAAACTTGTTATGCTTTTTGCTGACGAACGCATGTTAACTAAGACGATTGTCCCTGAATGACAAGTTATGCTAACCTTGGCACACGCTACGTATACCCGCTCACAGCTTATCGGGTCACACTTGTTTCGTTTACTTGACATGGACTGAAGCGAGCCCCGGAAGAGAGAGATATCACTGGCAGTGATAATTGAGCTCATGGGTGATGTTCCATTTCGCTTTCCAGGATATGGCCCGCACCTCTAACCCTGCTTTTACATCGTAACTTTGCAGGCCGTTGCTCACGAAAAGCGCCAGTTGCACGTTCGTAATCATCTTGCAATTGGGCGGCCTATTTGGTGTGCCCGGTGCTATTACTCTCAGTTATGAATGCCGCAAGCATGCTACTTCATTGACACCTCCCTATCTTCACACAATAACCAGCTGTTTGCGACTGTATGATGTTGTATACTTGCTAGTGCTTTGATTCTGAATTTATATTTGTAGCATTTAGGTTTTCTACAACCACCTTCCCTGCCATGCGGCGATAAGTCAGTGCAACTTCCTAATGGGAATCCATCGTCGTATTGTCTGTTGTTGCTCATAACATCACGACGTCTAAATTGAATGTGTCATCGGCTAATCCGCTCTAGCTAATCTGAATAGCGGGCCCTGTTTCTATGGGATGGCATTTACCAGCATTGGTTTCGTATCGAGTTCCTTTGTTATGGATGTGGGAACAGCGGGTTGGAGTTTGTTAGCCATTATCATCGTTCCCGTTTGTCTTTGCCGGAGTTTCTTTACCTGATTTTTGATATTACCCTGATTGATCATTTCCTGAGTGATTCGTTTCCCTTTGGTTTTCCTTCTATTGGGCCGATTGAAAATCCCGATGCAGCGAAGTTAGGCGACGAAGAATAAAAGATCTGATTGCTGTCATTCAGCTTCACCCATAAACTTGTAATGTACATACTATCACTTCGTATCACAGCGAGTTCATCGTCCACTCACGCAGCGACGGCTATTAGCACAGGATGCCTCTAACATAACTTCCTATCCCTTACCGGATTCGAGTTTCATTTACTATCACCATCGTCTAGTTTGGACATCACTATTCCCATCGCGGCGAGAATGGACTTTAACGTGGTGCGATGGTTTCCCTACCTCCGTAACCCGTGAGCTACGCTGGATTGCACTTTCCAAGAGCCTTCAGAGCCATCCATACCAGCCAGATCAATAGTAAGGGGCCAACCTAAGTCGGTCTCACATTTCTCTTCGGAGGTTACGGAGAGTTCGATGTGCCTCCTCCTTATTATATATATATATATATATATATATATATATATATATATATATCGTTGGCGGCATCCAGTTTCGGGTTTGCCTGTCAATGTGGCCAGTCACAGGACGCCTGCGCCTACAAAGGGACCATGAGTGGCTTGCACTGCACCACCCACAGCTCCAACCACACCCCCCATATCCAGTGTAAACCCAAAGGAATAAGACCGGGAGACATGTGGATGGGAGCCACGTTTCATCCCTCGAACCTCGAGTCTGACTTCACATTGGTTCTTTTAACGTCCGCACTGTGGGTTAGATCTGTTGACAGTCAGCACTAGCTCTCTTCATTCTCTTGGTATTAACGTATGCGGTGTCTCCGAAACACGCATACATGATAACAGCGTCGTGATGTGTTTTCGACTCACTGGTTTCGAATCTGTCGAAAATGAATTCCATCTTCGTGTATCTCGTTCTACTGAGACAATGGCCCAAGGTATTTATGGTGTCAGCATCACCCTCAGCGGACATGATTAAGGCAGTTTTTGTGTGAATACCAGTGAACATCCTCATGTGTGAAGTTCAACTTCGAGCTTTTATTAAAATTAATAAGCACCATCTGATGACAAAGCGCCTTTCCGCCATTTCTGTTTATGCCCCTACTGACTGCATTTCGGAGAGTATATAAAACGATTTTTATCACGAACTCTTATCTACTCTCTGTATGACAAAAAGTGCTGACATTGTGTCTAGTGCTTTCGACTTGAATACCCAATTGGATCACCTTTCAGACTGCACAACACCTGGGTTGAAGCACGCTGAACTGACAATGGCGATGGATTCCTGCAACGATGCGCCGATCACAATTTTTATTTTAACAGTACTGCTTTCCAGCACAAACGTTCACATTGCGTCATCAGACGCCCATGGAATTTCTCAATGAACTGGACCTAACTTGATCATATTGACAGTCCAAGACTATCGGTCAATTTGGAGCACATCCATGTTCTAGTACTCGCATGCTTAGCGCTCTCCCGCTTTTCAAAGAATCACCCAACCTTTAGTATTCTTACGTGTAACGAATTCAGTCTGCAGATCAACAATATGATGTCGAGTGGCACCCACTAATTGGCAGTGGTGAATGGAGTTAGTGAGCCGAGCACTGTCTGCGATCGTCTCAAGTATATCAAGAAGAATGCTTATAACGCCTACTGCACACCCCTTGAGGCGTCCGAACTGTGAAAGGATCGCTGAGGCAGACAACCTATAATTGGCTCTTTCAGTGTGTTCGTAACTCTCCGAAACGACGACTGACGTGGAGTCTTCGAATTTCCCTGAGAATTTGGTGGTTTGCAGGAGCCCGTGGGATGTGGAAAGTCAATGCGATTGGGAACAGCCGAGTGCTATTCAAGTTCATCTGGAAAACGGGTCCAAGGAAGCCGTCTGTTAGTGAGACAATGGCTAAAAGCCATGGACATTTGATCCATTCTCAGTCTCATGGACTAGGCCGTTGAGTGGAACATTTTGAAGAGTATTTCAGTAGGCCTTCTGTGACACCGCTGTTTGCCGAATCACCTGAGCCGACTTGAGAAGTTAATATCACACCCACTTTGAAGGAGAATCGACATCTCCTAACGGTTTTGAAGTGAAACAAAGCTCATGGACCCGACGCTCTTCTTGCATCTTTTCTGCAGCGTGGGGATGACTCCTTGACTGCTCTCTTCACCCCGAATTATAACACTGAAGAAATGCCTCCGGACTGGCAACTTGATTGTCGTGGTTACCTTCAAGAGAAATCTGTGCGCTTAGTGCGAAAATCTTTGAGGTAATATCTTTATTTCCATTGCCTCTAAACGTCTCCTTAGTTTCATTCTTCGAAAACTTGCTGGTCCTCGTGAAGGCCAAATCATTGAAATCCATTCTGACTTCCACCATGGTCATGATTCCATCGACCACCTATTTAGTCTTCGACAAGGGTTGGAGCAGATACACACAGAGGACCAACTAGTGATTTGCTTGATTTGAAAACCACCTTCGGATTTGTTGATTGAGCTAACTTGAGGCACTGGCTTTCCTTGAAAGGCGTATCAGGTAAAATCCTTTTCTTTCTGTAGTCTCTCTACCTTGACTCCCGAGGCCGCGTAATTGTTTACCGGAAGATGTCCCACGACAGGCGGGGTTCGCTAGGGTTGTCCTATATCCCCTTTCCTCTTCTGCTGTTATCGAAATGATCATGAATGATTCAGTTCTCTCAGACTCCACCGGAGTGGAAGTTCTGCCAGGTGACTGACTGGCAATCCTGGAGTATGCGGACGACAGCTCTCCGTAGGTCTGACTCAGTGGCTATGCAGCCACTATTGCATAAACTGGCGCATAGTGTTGTACGCTTCGGCGTACTTTGCACCTTCAAAGTGCAAAGTGCTGTTTCAGGACTGTACCGACACACCGGTTTTATCAGCGAACAGCTACTGGAAGTAGTGGATCGGTTCACTTTCCTTGTTAGCTGTGTCACCTCTGGTGATCACATTAATGAGGTTACTTTGCATATAGCAAGGCCTATGTGGTTTTCCAGAGACTCAACTATCTATGGAGACAGCGGGACATCACTTGCGATAACGCCTATGTTACTGTATGGATCAGAGACCTGGCCAGTTAGCAGCGATGACATACGCTTGGCCGTGTTTGATCACGGATGCTTGCGGAGTATTGCTCAAATCTAGTGGGAACATTGGGTGAGCATTGCTCCAGTCCGCCAGTTGATTTTTGGCAAGAAGTGTTCTGGTGCTTGCTGAGTCTTAATCGCTTACGTTGGTTAGGTCGTGTCCTCAGCTTGCCAGTTGACCGGCTTCCTTGATATGCATTATGTACCGTTGATGCACCAGGTTTCGTAAAACCGCGTGGTAGCCAGTCCATGACGTGTCGTAAAAGCATGAGGAAATTGACCGAGAGATGTTGTTAGGCAGGTGCGGGCCCTCGTGGTAGTCCACAACAGTGGTTTGAGACCATATCAGGCATGATGCGGTCGTGCAATGAATGACGTTCCTGCATTCTATTTCTTACACCTAGCTTCTGATATTCCTCTCCGATTAGTTTTGCACACCTCTGCTGATTTGTTTTCAACCGCTTTCCTTATTGTTTCTGTTCATTGTTTTCCTGGCGATGTCATTGGTGGCAACTGGATCTACCGCACTTCAGATCCTTCTGTGCCAGTTGACTAGGTGAACGAGAACAAAAATCCTTCGGGTTGCCCGCAAACATTCATTTTCCCAATGATTTACGTCAGCTAATTTGCATCGTTTTCCAGATGGCGGAATACCCACATGCAGATTCCATCCAGCCGTCCGTGTGCGCAATCGGTATCACTGGCGTGAAGAGGCTGCACTCAAACGGTGAGCCTCTTTTCTTTCCCACCAGACCAGGTTGTTTACTGTTATCCACGACTCTTTATTATCAGTGTACCCATACTTTATCGTATGTGTGGTGACCGGTAGCAGTTTTTCTATACGGTACTTCGTGCGTTATTCTGAATTTTATCATTCAGCCATGCGGAGCGCTTTCGTCGACAAAGCTCTTCCAGTTCTCAATTCAGCTCACGATCGGTTCCCTGTATTGAGAGCGGTCCAAACATTTCATCACGTGCCTTCCCGGGCTATCGCCTACGTGTTTCTGCAAACCCGGATGAATCAACTCTACCTTACCTCCCTCATTCGTCGAACGCGTTTTCTCCTGCGCTATCTTCATCATACGAATCGCTTCATCGCCAACGACCAATTTTACATAATGGGCGGAGTCACGTTCGTAACCTACATGTTCGCAGCCCATCGTCGGAAAAGGATTGCGGACACCATTCTAGGGTCTCTTTGACATATCGGAACAAGCGAACCGATAGACGCATGTCTCACATGATGAGTTCCGATGATGAGACAATATCTTTAGACCTTCTTGCTAAAAAACCGAGCCTAAATCACTCCAACTTCGAACGTCTTTACCCCACTATGACGCGGAATGAAACTGTTAACAGTGGTGCAGCCTCATGCTGTCGACTGAAGAGATCTAGGTCACGAGATGGCGAATGGGACTCTGATACAGGGTGAGTGTGCTGTTCAATATTTCACTTGTTCGTTCGCTTTAATCCGACCCACTGGAATTTTTACCAAAATGTGCCCTAATAATCGCCTCACCCAGTTCTTACTCCACATTTTTCCTGGATGGATTCTATCCAGTCAACTTTTGGTATCAACTGTTGGTATGCATACCTCAACTGATACTTTGTGAAGTGGTGTGATACTCTAACTGACGCGAGACATTTCACTTTCTTCATCTCTAAGGTATGTATCATTTATGCCGTCCCACAAGCTAACAATTCAATTTGACAATTTCCCTACAACATGATAATTGACCCGTGGCTCATCCAGTCGCTATAGCTTGAGCCATCATGGTAAAATTAAAAGGAGTCTAACATGAGGACGAAGACGCAGAAATATTCATAGAAATATACTAAAGTACTCGTTCCCGCTTGTTTGAAGAATAAGTCCATGTAGTTATCTATAAACAACGTGGTAGGATAAATTAGCCCCGAGTACGTGAGGTCGTAGATGTCTTGACGCACCAAATGCTTTGATCAGTTAAAAAGTTAAAGCGGACAGATAGACATAATGTCAAACGTAATAAATTTACTCATGGCAGATAAATCAAGAAATTGAGGCGAAGAGTGCAAAGTAAGCAGTGGAGGCAGTAGCAGTGGTGACAATGAGGTACTCAGCGACTGGCGACTACATGTCGTGCACATTAAATGGGGTATTGGACACACAAACGGTGCCAGTGCTGACATAGAGATATAAAGCAATTAGGCGAATCCACCATAATTTGCAGAATAACCTGTGTCGGATCAGATTTTCGTGTTCGGAGTCACCATGGTAATAAAAGGCAGATAGCAGGAGGGAAAACCTTCAGTGGAAAGGATTGGGAAACACACCCGATTGCTGAGCGAAACGTTGGTGGAGTAAACAGCAAACCAAATGCGAGAACGTCACTGAATTCATGACTGAGCCATATCGAATAGGAAGCCGAACTCGTAATATGGCCGATCAAGAGTTGTTCGTCTATAAAGCAAGCAGATAACAGCCTACCCCGTTATTTCGGCCAACTACTTCAAAGTCAAGTACAAATGGATCCGAAACATATGCATGGTTACATTTGTAACCTTCCGACTATGACTGCGGATGTACTGGAAAGTAGAACGAACCAGACGTGCAAAAACCAAAATGTAGAACGGAGAATTATCACTGAAGCAAACGGTTGCACAGCACACGAATCATTTGTAAGAGTGGAATGCCAGGTATGTGGAATTGCGGGAAAGCATAACTCCACATTTTTCATGCGTCATGGGTATGATTCTGTGACAAAAGATGGCATAGAAATGTGTGCATGAACCAAAAGGCATATTACCGAAAGAGTCAAAGATCGGATCTTCGGATAAACTATTGCATCCGTGCGTTTGTCAATATGACGGTAGACGAATTAAAGAAGGTTTCGTCGTTCTTAACCAGACGAGAGGAGATAATTACGAAAATCGCAATCTATCGACACAGACCATCTCAACTGTTACAAGGCACCAAATAAATTCTTTACGAGCAACGAACGAGATGGTAATCATCCCGCTATGTGACCCAACAACTTATCATCCGTGTTTCCATCAGCCGGGATCAATACGTGTCGGATAGTTCGACTGTAACTCGGAAAATCTCAATGTGTGAGCGCAACCAAAAAAACCATAAGGAACAGCCCTGACGGCTACGCGTTCCATCCCCTCCCCCCAAAGGTTTACAGAGCGCAACCCTATTGGGTGATGTGACAGAAAATATCAAAGCCAGTGGGGATTACCGAGGCTGTTACCTGCCTGCTTTCTAGACGAACAGCTCTTGATCGGCCATATTACGAGTTCGGCTTCCTATTCGATATGGTTCAGTCATGAATTCAGTGGCGTTCTCGCATTTGGTTTGCTGTTTACTCCACCAACGTTTCGCTCAGCAATCGGGTGTGTTTCCCAATCTTTTCCACTTAAGGTTTTCCCTCCTGCTATCTTCCTTTTATTACCATGGTGACGAAAACCTGGTCCGACGCAGGTTATTCTCCGAATTATGGTTGATTCGCCTAATTGCTTTTTATCTCTATGTCAGCATTGGCACCGTTTGTGTGTCCAATATCCCATTAAATGGGTAGGACATGTGGTCGCCAGTCGCTGAGTACCCCATTGTCTCCATTGCTACCGAAATTTGGTTTAAAAAGTCTCTTATCGTTAGATTGAAACATTAAGTTTACACACCACAGAGGCCTGCTGAGACCTCTAGCGCAAAGCACGTGACATCACTGGCCTTTTATATCGCTCAACTCATCGTCATCGCACCGCACTCCGATTTCCATTTGTTACAGATTTTGAGTTCACTCAGCCTTGATCACTTAAAGCCGTCAAATATGTCGAGCATCGTTACTATCGCACTGCTTATACATTCCCTAATGCACTTCGCCTCAGTTAATTCATCCGCCTTTCTTACTGATTATATGTTGAGCTTCTCAATCGTTTTGACTTGTGTCGCGGTATACAATTGAAAGCGGTAAGTTTCGGCGCTAGCGCTCCTTTTTTTGGATTTAGAATCAAGATTCACTTGGTTGATTCATGCCTCTTGTATTAATTCCACGTCATATTGGTTCTTCTTCTAGCACTTCACATTTAGTTCCATTCCTACCCTGTACTCTAGATTTCTTTTCTTGCACCTTTCCGAGTTTTCATAGCTGCTCTTTCTAGGTTTGGCTTTGCCATCTGCTTTCTTACTCTAAGATGCCGAGCAGAACATCTGTTCCTCCAAAACCAACTGGCAACAAGCGTAGGGTAACCAGTCACAAGTCTAGTACTGCCAAGCTAAGTATTCAAGTCATTGGATATTGAGCGGCGCTATGTCACATCTGTTCACTGTTGTTGCCGTACTCGGTAGCTCAGTGGTTTCAACCACAGACTGGTAATACTCGAGTTCTGGCTTCCAGCCCTACATGGGCTAGCTGGAATGCGCACCGCTTACCATTCCCGAAAGAACGAAACGGCCGTGCAGTACTTTTCCGGGTGTGTGATGGCTGTCTGAGTTAGTGTAAATGTGATGAATTTCTACCAATCCCATACAACTTCCCCTAATGTTCCTTTGTACTCAAAACTGTTTCATTATTTCGTTCATCATTCACCTTAGCTAGAAGTCGGGACACCTCAGCTACTGTGCCGCAATACACATGAAAAAATAAACTAGAGACGCAACACAGGCGCACCACTAGTAACGGATGGACATCGTTCCGGAGAGCTAGTAGCCGGATGTTTTGCCGCAAAAGTTATCTTATCCTTCAGAAACGTGACCGTGGTTAAAGGTGGAGGGACAAAGAAACACACAGCATAAGCGCCACTGAGGTCGGCTCCTACCCATGTCAACAAGTATATCCAGCCAAACGTGCTCATCGTCTTTCTGACCCCAACCGGGGAGCCGAGATGCTCCAACCGAGGCCAACTTCAAAGCAAGGGCCTTCATTCCTCTTGCCCAAGTTATCGCTTGGCCACCCCTCCTCTTCTTCCATCCACACCCCCAGCGTGTAAACAACGCGCGTCTCGGGAGCCGGTGGGCTGACATACGTAACACGTGGCCCAGCCATCGGAGCCTGGTGCATGAAATAACGGTGCTGAGCGGTTCACTTCCACTTCATGTGCCACAAACTAGGCGTCGATAACGCTCGTTGCTCACGCGGTGTTCCCACCAGATATGAGCCAAAGTGCGAAAACACCGGTGGTCGAACACAACTAGCCTCTTTATGTCGGTTGCTTTAAGGGGCAAGGTCTCACAACCGTACAACAGGGCCGAATGTACGGCTATATTGTAAACTCTACTCTTCAGGGAGAGAGTAGGGTCGCGCTGGCGCCCTAGGTAGCGAAGATCAGTCAAACCGCTCCGTGTTTTTGCTATACGGTTCGTGACATCCTTAGGTGCTCTTGCAACTTCCCAGGTAGTTAAATTTCTGGATGACTTTTAGCTGATCCCCACCAAAGGTCAGCGCAGAAGACGGTCCACGCCAATCTTGGAGGAAAGCTTTGCACTTCCAGGGTGCAAAGTGAAGTCCGAAACGACTGACAGCCAAGGCTAATTTGTCCAGTGCTTCTTGACACGTTTGTGAGCTGTCACAGATTAGGGTAATGTCATCAGCATGCTCCAAGTCCAGAAGTCGTTCACTTTGGAGTAACTCTACACTTTCTAGGTCGTGTCCTGTGAACGCGTTCTTCATGGCTTCGTTAATAGCGCGGTCGAAGAGGAAAGGTGACAGCGGGCATTTCAGTCTTACACCACTGGAGATATTAAAGGGCGACGATAGCTCGCCGTAAGCCCACCACTCTGTCTGAGCTACGCGAGTACAGAGCTCGGCTAATATCTACAAATTACTCGGATAAACTTTTCGTGAGTAGACAGTCCCAAATTGCACATCGAGCAACCAAATCGAAGGCCCCTTTGATGTCGAGGTACTCGGAGACGGTGGGTCGCCAATATATGTGAATGGTGCTCCAACAACTGACGTAATGTGAATATGTGGTCGATGCATGCCAGACCTCGACGAAACCCGGCTTGCTCTTCACGAATCTGGCTTTCACGAGCGTCAGTCAGTCTATGAACGATGACAAAGGCAAGCAATTTGGATGCCATAAAGATCAAACTGAGAACTGAGAACTGGTGCGAAGCAGCGAGTAGAGGTTGCTCTGTGTAGCTGCATCATTCGTCGTTTTCGGACATGAACTTTTTATTTATTGTTTCGCTCTTTGTACCTTGCCTCTGCAAATTGTT